ATCCTGTATCTTTTTAATAATATTCCCTAGATTGGTACTGATGAGTTCTTGCGTTAGACATACTATTTATACTTGTTTATTGAGTGTATTGAAGATAATATTAAGTAATACGAAATAATTTTTTTTCAAATCATAACTTTTTGTTTACTTCGGACCCCAATGTGAAAAAAATTACTCTACCGAAAAGTGACCCTGTATTACAAGTTTTGGCGCATTAATAAGGGATTCTTAACAGGTATTACACATGGCCATGAGTCGCTCTAATATCTTTCTTGGAAGAATTACAAACACCGAAAAGTGACCCTGACTTTTCGGTACAGTAATTTTTTTTCCCTCGGCTGTACCCTACGTAATTAATTTGCATATTGTGTTTTATGTTTGACGATTACACACTTGTTATAACATTTCCATTCATATATAAGCTCAACAACATGCTTAAACAATACCAGAAAATATGGTCAGCAATTGTACACACATCGATTAAATTAGAACATAGAAATTAAACGGAGCAAGGAAAAAAAACACAGGCAAACAGTAAAAACTAACAATAAATAGAAACTTAAACCTCAACACCTAATAAACAAAATTACGGTAAGTAGGAAGATTGTTGCCAAATATATCAAAATGCGAGGCTTCTTCACGGCAGCATTAAAAGTAGCAATTTATAAGCGAGCCGTAGGTATGTATAAAATACTTTTATTCAAGTTTTCTTGGAATACAAAGAAAGGACAATTCATATACCTAGATCTTATAACTAATAACACAGCAAACAGCTCTTGTGAACTCAGCCAGTGTACAAACAATTTGGACTTCATCAATATAAATATAATTTATTATCATATATCGCTCGCGTGAGTGGCTCTTCGTAAACCAAGCTGGAGTGAGCGCGCGGTACATCCAAAAGTTGTGACCTCCGCCTCAGGTTCTTGCTTGGAACTCGTAGACACAGTGTCTCCATTATATCCATATATATATTTAATAAAACACTAAACAGTTTTCAAAAATAATGATGAGTTACCTAGGGTCTGGAAGAATCTTAAGGAAATTAAAAATAAAGAATTCTAACCAATACAGATTTTGAGTTTTTACTTAAAATTCAAACCTTGGTAGCGACCTCTAAATGGCATTTAAAAAATTTAGAAAAAAAATACCGAAATGCTTTCTTATGTTATGTAATACATATAACCAAATTACGTGATGCCCCACGAAATAAAAGAAAGAATTTCTTTCTTAGGAATAAGGACCACCCTAATATACATATATGTCATAGCCATTTCAAAGCGTTATTTACATATATAAAAAAATATATGTATGTAAATAACTTTGATAACTTTGAGGCCTTTGCCCGTAGGCATACAGAATCAGTTATCGTAGATTAAGAAAAAATACAGTTATAATGAATATATCTTGTATTCTGATATAAGGCTGTAAATAAATAAATAAAGTAAATAAAATATGTATGTATATATATCATTAACAGTGGCTTATTATAATTTGTGACAATCAACAATGGTTTGCGGGCCTTGAAGTTCTCTTATCAATTACATATAGACGCAATTATTTAGCATTTAAAGTACTTTAGCATATTATTATGTTAATATACCTAATGAAAATGTTGGCTTAAATGGTTTTATTTATTGCAATTATACAATTACTACTTTGAATTGAAAAATTTGGAAAACTAGAATATGACAATATACTCTGTCAGTAAGATTCAAGATTTAGATTTTTTCTCTTTCTTTAAATTTTAATTTTCTCCTGTGACATTCTAAATGACAAGTAGCTGAACCGAATTTAACTCATAAAGATGAGGACCTATATGCCATTATTCTTCTCTATATAGTGTATACACTATCGGTCTTACTAATAAAAAATCACTATGCATGAGTTATAACAAGGTGATAGTTATTCAGTGAATAGAGCTTGTACAGGGCATTAACACCTCTTTGACCAATAATCGATGTGTATTGGTTGAATAACTAAACGACCCTTATTTATTGTTACCCTGGCAACCCGCCGTGTTTGATTGACGTTTGACTTAATAATTCTGATAGAAGTCATAATTCAAATGTAAGTTGTATTTATTTTAGCAACCAAAACAATTATATTCAGACAAAGAGGACTAGAATTTTACATAAAAAGCCACGTTCTGCAGTACAAAAGTTGGGAGAGGTTAGTATCAATGTGATAGAGAAAAGGACTATTTCATTCAAAAGCCCTCAACGATCATACTTAAATTTTTTAGGCATCTCAAATAGTGGAAAGTGCCAAACTCCGCAACACGGCAGTGTTCCAGTGTTTGCACGAAGAGCATGAAACCAAACTAAGGCAAATGGCTGAAACACATGAGCTCAAACAGAAGCAACTTGCCGAAGCTCACAAATGGGCTAGACAGGAGCATCTTCTAAGGCTCAAACTTAAATTACAGCAGCAATATAAAAAAAATAAAACCCCTGTTTTAAATGAAATACCTAACTTTGTGTAACTTTTTATTTATTTCACGTCTAACTATCCACACCTATGTAAATAAAACAGCTTTAAAAATATGTTTCAATATAAGCAGCTTGTCCAGCCTGATTGCTTGGGGGCGTCTAGGTTGGCCTTGGTTCTTCTGGAGCATTCTCAGTGTCATCATACGTAACATCCAGGTCTTCTTTCATATCAATAGCAATATTGTGGAGGATTGCCAGTGCTACTATATATTTATATAATTTGGCATTTTCTAAAGACACTGAGAAGCCATGAAGAAGACACCTAAATCGAAAACCATCCACCTCTATTACTCTTTTCGACATCAGCTCGCACTGTCACAGACCTTCATAACATACTGCTTTGTAATGGTAGGGGAGCCCAAGAGGGGATTTCGGGATTTACTAAAGCGCGGCAGATTACTATATAGGGGGATACCTTGTACCCGGTTAAGTACCTCCACAAAATATGAGGCCCATATATAAGGCCGCGCGTGAAGGAGACAGGATCAGATTAGTAAAAAAAAATTGACCATCAGAAATTCCCGAGCGCGTCAGATTAAGGTAGGGTGAGTTAATTACATCCTAAAAAGTGTATATTCCACTAATCTGACAATTTGAGAGTGACGGAAAAAAGGGGAGGGCAACAAAGTTGTAAAAAAAACGTCATCTCGACATTCTCGAGCGTAGCTAATTTTTCTTTTATTTTGAAGGAAATAATTCCAGAATAATGAAAAATATATAATCTGACGATTTCCGCAAGCCGAAATAACAAAAATTCGTCGATAAAGTTAAATGCGTGCAGCTGCGTGATGCCTACATTTCCTTAAACCGATCGGAATCTACTAAACGGCGTTCAAAATATTTCCCTCAAAATTACATTTCCTGTGAATTTGAACCGATTCGGACCGATAGATTTTGAGAAATTTTGAAAAATCTTAAAAAAATAAGAAATATTTTTTTTTAAGTGGTTTCTTTATCGATCAACTTCAAAAACTAATCCGCCTTTGAGCTTGAAAAACCACGTCGAACCACCAAGCTGGTCAAAAGCGGTTGATTCGTTCGAGAGATATCGTACATGAAAGAAACCCGAAAAAGTGTTTTTTCGGGATTACTCGAAATTTGTGGTTCGATCAATTAAAATTGCAAAATTACTTATGAGAATGATAAAACTGCGTCGAATGCCGCCAACCGCGTGAAAATTGCTTGATCCATTCAAAAGTTATTGCGGTTTGAAAATTCCAAAAATAGTGTTCTATGAAACTTCTATCAGACTTTCGAGCTGGGAGAGCTCAAATGCATAGAAATGTTATTTCTTTGAACTCAGCGAGCTCAAAATATCAATTTTAAGCGCCCAGGAATGGAATTAGCGGGAAGTTGCAGGGATGGCCCTTTAGGTGAACCGTTTTTCTATTTTTTTTTTGTCAGATCAGGCGAATCCCTCTAGATAATCGTCAGATTATGAGACAGTACGTTTAGAACATAAAGATGAACCACATATATCTTAATCTGACGCGCTTGAGTATTTCAAAATTGCGATTTTTTTTGCAAATTAAGAAAATGGCTGTGGGTTTGCGTCCCATCGAAATCGTCAGATTAGTGAATGAGAGATTTTTTTTGGTGCACTTAACACTCCCTTAGAAAATCTGACGCGCTCGATAAATTTTTTTTTTTTTTAATTTTCAACCCTTAAATACAACCACCCGCATCATGCAAACGATCAGATTAACATACGTACATTATTAAAAATACGTAGGGCATAGATGCTATCAATATCTGACGCGCTCGAGGATGTCCATGCAACAGTTTTTTTTACATATTTAACTATCTATAGCCGCTTCCCCCACCGATGAAAAGGAATTTATCATATAACATTTTTTTCTTCTTTTTATCTAAGCTTTGTATCCCAATAGGTCTCTACGACGCTCGAGTAAATCCCCATTTAGCATCGTGGGCTCCCCTACCATAAAGCGGTATTTTGTTTTGAAATCGCCATCCGAAAGTAATAACGGATTGCACCGAGTTTGGTATGTTTTGACTTTCCTTGGAGGCGGCAAATCTTCAATCGTATGTATTAGCTGCATATCAATATTATCTAAATCTTCCATTTGATCTATAAAATCTATTTTCAACAAACACAAATACCTACTAACTTAAATCTTTCCTTGAACTAAACAGTCAAAAAATGCTGTCAAACGCGAAATCAGATCAAATAACGCAATTTATGTCCTATACACCCGTTAAACTAGGCCTCGGCGTTGTATAAGCATTGTACAAGTCTTCATACAAACCAGACACTTGTTATAACAGCCGTATACATCAAACGTGTCAATTCAGGAATTATTAGTAACATTTTTCTTATAACAGGCTTATACGATGTGCATAATTCTTTATTAGTAAGACCGTATGTTTATACGAGTATTCGATATCTAATAAAATATATAAATATCTCAGTAGTATTGTGATTATTTAATTTCCAATAAAACATATAGAAACAACGAAATCATATTTTAATTATAGGTAATTATTATACTATGCAACTTTAACCTTCTTGGAAAATACAAATTTTCGCAAACATAGATACAACGATCCTATCATAATACTAAAACTAATTACGATAGTCATAAATAAATTAAGTATAAATTCTATTTCATAATATTGGACCCAGGACATATTTGCACCGGCCGCTCGGATGTGTTTCGCCCCACCATGTCTTAAAACGTATTCCGTCCACCAAACTGCTCGGTCTAATGCACTCACAGGCTGATCAGCCATGATACTTCGAAGTCTTATAATGTTCTCTTTAAAACTGTAACAAAAGTATGAAAGTTAAACATTGAATATATTTGTATCTTATTGAAGTGATAACTTTTTATGGGAGGGTAAACCACTTCGTTACATAACGCATAACGGCGCCAGTCTGTCTAGCTTTCTTTCTCTCACGCATATGACAGTGGAAGGCAGGTTCCTCCTCTCTCACTCTAACCCGCATCGTTAGCTTTATTTCGGACAGACGCTTACTACTCTCTCTACTCAGTGTTTAGGGTACGTTAGACGTTTACTGTTGACAGGAAGCATATTATAACCTCAAAATATCACCGATTTTGATAGTGATCATAAAAGAAAGTGATTATAAAAAAATTATGAATGAAGCAGAAGATGATCCTCGGAACATTAAATAGTTCAATTTAGATTAGTTTCAGTTATGACTTCTGTCGGGCGCACATTTTTTATATACATATTTATTAACAGCTACGCCACATTTTAACTACAAATATTAGAAAACCATTTTAAAACGTGGTACCTACATGAGCAAGTAAAGCTGTTGACCATGTTTGCGATGTATGCATATGGCCAGAAATGTATAATTGCTTCTTTCTATTCAAGCATAAATATGATTAATCGATTGCAGTTAAAACTGTCTATAACTTCTGGTAAAGAAACCAAAATATTTAAACTGAATCCGGACTTCCGGGATACATTTATATTCAGCTTCTGTAAAACTAGAGAATATTGTGCATCTATTTAGATTAATTACCTTGGATCATTTATTAATGTTTTAATTGCTGCACTAAAAAGACTTTCAGTTATTGTTTCCATATCAAGTCGAACACCAATTCTATGTTTCTCATATTTCTCAACGTTGTACCATTGATCTGTAAGCATTGGTATACCTATGAGCGGTACTCCCGCAGTTATTGCTTCATCTGTTGATTGGAGACCGCCTTGAGTGACGAATAGTTTAACATTTTTATGCCCTAAAAATGTAAATGATTCATACAATGTACACGTGTTATTTAATACAAGCAAACTAATCTAATGCAAAATAATAAATGCAACATTATATCATATTACTTTTAATTTTAAAGATTTAAACTATATTAAAAAATTATTTTATTTACGAAAAACTCTATATCGTTAACACTTGCTAAACCATGCAAACAAAACTTCGAATATAATATAAAAAATAACTTGTAAAATTGCAATTGAAAAAGAGATCTCTCTGACTTTCATGAAAATATACTGACTCAATAGGTCTGACTGTGGAAGCCATTTAGATATTTTAATATTAGTTGATTTTCCTGGCATTTCATCTGCTTCCCACTTCCACAGAACATCATAGGGAAGTTTGGAAAACACTCTGATTAACTTTTGTATAAATTCTTGTGGTAAAGTTGTCGAAGGAGCATTACTTCCAAAGCTAATATAAATCACGCCATGTTTCGAAGAGTCCAGATATGTCTCAAGATCCTTAAAAAAAACATTTCTATGTGTATATTTATTAAAATTAGAATAGAAAATTACATGAGTGCAATGACCCTATCTCTAAATGGGCATGTTTTATCATGGAATAAGTGTTACAAATGTTTAATTCAATACTATTTTCTTAAGGCATTTACGCAATTATTTTTTAATGATATCACTTTTGTATCAAAAATATTGAATTTAAATTTTACAATAATTACGTTAAGATCAGTCCTGAATTCTAGGAAATATTATAAAAAATATTTTTTTAGATTTATAAAACTAATTAGATTTTGTTTATTTATATTAGTCGTACTTCGTTATCCAGCGACGGACGATATCCTTTTCTATTTAAAGTGAGGCGTAATTGAATCATATAAAAAAAACTTACTTTTGGCAATGGTTTCTCAAGCTTTTTGTGAATACCCCAAATAGATATAACATTTGGTGGCAAAGGTTGATTACCAATCCACATATTGTGAATATTCAGAAATAACATATGAACATTATTTCTCAGTTCACAATATTTTGGCAAATCCGGACCCAAAATTTCTCGAAAAGTATTCATTTCTTCATTTTCTTTCTTTAACCATAGCATTTTAAGCCTCCAATGTTTGTAGAATTCGTCTAGTTTCTCCCAAAACGTTAGATTATATAATCTCTGCTGAAGTCCTAAAGGATATAAAATCGGATGCGATTGAGTTCCAAGAGTCTCATCATTTCCCATCATCAATCCAAAGGAGCTCACTAAAATCACTGGCGCCTTAAATATATAGGAGTATACTAAAGTCTGCCTCGTCCACGCTTCTATCAAAAGAATATCAAATTGCGAAGGATCCTTAATCAATTCTTGAATTTTTTCATGTTTCAAGTGAATCACAGTTAGTTTACGCATTATATTCCAAGCTGCGTCCATCTGAGGTAATATAGTATTTTTTTGTCCAAACTCTAGCTTATACACAAAGTTGTCTCTCCATAATTTGTACGAAATATCATGAACATCTATTTCCGTTAAATTTGCAGGTGTTCCATTTTTAAATACTGGGTCCGTTGTCAATACCGTAACCTGATGGCCACGCCTGGCTAGCTCCTGGGTTAGGGGCCGAAATACAACCTGGTGGCTCACAGATGGCGTCGGGAAAATAGCCAATATTTTTGCCGATTCACTTACAGTTATTATACACAAAGAAAAAACAAGGGCCGGACTGAACATTGCGACGGTTGTATTTAAAATGAAATTTAAATAATATCTTCTATGACACAGTACAGCATAGTCAAAGCAAGTATATTTCATGTCATATACGTCATATTTGGCAAATACAACTACAACTATTATAGATGATTGAAATGTTACAATTTGAGGGCCGCACTGAACAGTTGTTAGAGGACGCAATTTTATTTATGGAACATGTAGAGATGGACACTACATGCTTAAAAAATTGTGGGGTTGGCGCCTTAGTCCCCCGGCCGCCATCTTGGAAAAAGGGGTGAAAACACGTTTTTGGCTATATCTCCTAAACTATCCTAATCGATCAATGAAATTCAGCAATATTAATGAGGCAAAATTACTCCCTTGTTATGATTATAAAAGTCAGATACATAATAAAGCAAAATAACTAGTTTATTGCGCTTATGACTACGGATTAAGAATAATAAAATAAAATAAAATAAAAATTTAAAAAACCGTTAATTTTTTTAATACTTTCTGATATATTTGCCATTGATTGAAAATACGCAATAAGAAAACATTAATAGTACATTCGGTTAATATATAATACTGATGGTCATAATATTATGTTAAAACGTGCTCAGGCGAGCAACCTAATATATTCACACCTAAAAAGAAATTGCAACAATTTGTTAGTAGGCATTAATAATGTCATTAAAAATAACTCAAAATAAAAAACTTTTATCTAATTGACAATAAAACGGTAAAAAACTAAATTTGTTTTTTATCTTTTGTAATCTTGACTTTATGTGAATACATAAAACATCGCAGACGTCTATACACAAGATGGCTTATTATTATTAATACTACTATAGTCGCGAAGATAAGCAGTAGAAGCTTAAGTATAAATTCCACTTCATAGAACTCAAACCAGGTCAAATTAGCACTCGCGGCTCGAAGGTGCTTTGCACCACCGTGTCGCAGCACGTATTCGGTCCACCATACCGCGCGATCTAATGCAGTCTGTGGTTGATCATTTAAAATATTTCGAAGCTTTAGTATGTTTTCTTTATAGCTGAAAATAGGAGAAAATTATTTCAACCTCGCCGAAGTGACACAAAACTTTGACGAGATTTGAAACGCGTTAATTAAAAGCATGCTCAGATAAAATTCTTTGCTATGACTACTTAAATATAGAATATATAATAATAACAAATATATTTATGTAAAAATAGCATCATGTAAACGATAAAGAAGTTGATAAAAAATTAGAAAACGCGACACTAAAACGCATTTGTCATTATTAAATTAATACGGAACCTAAAATTTAAGCTTGCCATCAATCATTACATAATTATGATAATAATACTAAATGTGTCGCTGGCATACGTTTAACAAATAACTTAAATACCTTTTATCACTGATAACTGTTTCGATCGCCTTTAATAGTTTTTCTCTCGTTATTGTTTCTATATCGAGACCAATGCCAATTTTGAGATGTTCGTAAAACTCCACATTGTACCATTGATCAGCCAGCATCGGTATCCCTATGAGTGGTACCCCAGAGTTGATAGCTTCATCGGTAGACTGTAGACCTCCTTGTGTGATAAATAGCTTTAAATTTGGATGACCTGTAATTAAAAATAATTATGTTCCAAACGATTCCTATTTATTCTAATATTAGCGGACCCGGCAAACTTCGTTCAGCCTAACAGTCTAATAATATCGTGTTAACTTTAGTTAAACTTATTTGAGAATTTCATTAAGGTTACATTAATACATTTTTTTTTTCAAATACATAAATGTTTTATTGCTTGTAATTGCGAAACAAGGATGTAATTCGGTGAAAGATCAAAGCGGTAGGTTTCTTTTATATGCGTAATTTTGTCAACAGATGTCCCACATGCTGTTTGCATTTGTAAAATTAATTAATTTATTGTGACTCGATAACTCATCCGATATTTTATAACTTATTCTGCTACTTGGAGCGGAGAAGAATCCACCAAAAAAGAGATAACTAACATCGGTCCAGCCAATCTTAAGTTACATGTCGTATAACCAACACGACTTTGTTTTATATATTTAGATTAAAATTGAATAATATATTAAACTAATTTTATATTTATTTAAGGCGAAAATATTATCAATGGTCTGCTTTAATATGATTTACTTAGTGCTTTGTTTCGACTCAGAATATTACCCTTAGAAAAGCCGAGTTCCGGAAATAGTCCATTAAGACATGAGGTCCTTAGGAACTCCGCACAATTGGAAATTTTGACAAGACGAGACCTCTACCACAATTAATATTTCTATGGAGTTTTATTTCTACTGCTATACATAGAATTATTGTGTTAGCGCATTTAATAATAACCATTAATTAGTTAGTTAATATCCTCATGAGTTAGTTTTTAGAACAAATAGCGCTCAGAAACCATAATAATGTGTTAATTTTATTTTATTAATATAAATGATGGTACGATAATGTAATATTATTTTAATATAAAAGTCATTCTTGGCGGCATTGTTTCGTCAATAAAACTGAAATATAAACAAAAATAATTGCCAAATTAATTGTACTGACTATGGACATTCACAATATAACTTGACTCACTGTATAACTGTGCTATTCTAAGACCTAGATGATTATCACCTAGGTTGACGCCTACATTCATCTTAAATCTACGGCCTTCGGAACTCAAACAAAAAAGTATAAATTGAATGTGATATTACATTACGGAGACAGCGTGAATAAATACATAATAATCTATACATAGAGTTAGCCTATAATGGATACCAGGCGATGGTCAGATCCACAATTATGGATTCACAATTCCCTTTTTAAAAATTTTATTTTATTTTTATTTATTTACTTTCCTTATTTCCTATTTTTACAGTAGCTTAATTGAATAGAAAACTAACGTAAAACATAATATAAACATAACAAGTAAAAACTTAAAAATCTACACCATTTTATAACTAACTAGTGGACCCCACAGACGTTGTCCTGCATGATATTTAAAGCGATTAGGATATTAAGCAAAGTATGAAAGTACCGACTGCAGTGCCATCTGCCGGGCTGATTTGTGAATCTAAACCATTCCCAGATCCCCTTGAACACACACAAAAAATTTCATCAAAACTTCTCTCAAACGAGAGAAGTTCAGTGACATACATTCACAGAAAAATTATATATATAAAGATTATAAATAATGCAATTCTTGTGAATTCAGCCAGTGTGCAACTAAATATATCCGTCTCACAAGCAATAGTGTTTAGGGTGCGCAAAACACGCGTAATCAATCAGTGGTGTTTCTCTAAGTAAGTTTGTCCGCACCCGAGGCACTGCCAGCAATTGCGACCGCTTACCACGCCGAGTGTGGTTATTTAGCACACGCAGCCCCAGTCTTTCCAACATTTCCATTTCCAACAAAAATATACATATTTAAATAGAAAGGAAGTGTAGACGCCGCTATATCTATAGATGTATTAATATTATAACCAATTAAATAATTAAAGAAAAGCATGGTACTCGATCTGTAGTCAAAGTTATTTATTTAAATTAAGCCTATTAAAAAGGCACTTTCGAAAGTCAAAATTACAAGTTCAAAATAATTAAAAAAAAATGACTAATTGCGCCTTCCAAAAGGCAGTTTCATATGGAGAAGAACGGGCAAGTAACTCCATACTTACTCATTTAAAATAGTTTTTACAATATTTTGTATACATTGATTTGATAAATATATGTGAAAACCATCTGGTGAGGACTTATGGTTTAAGTACTTATATAAAGAACCCTCAGTTATAAAAGTCATTATTCAGTAATGATATTGCGATAATAATATCTACCACACTACACCAATTCAAGCACTACTTATCAAAGCACTCAATTTATCAAATGCGTAATTTATGTAAGATAAGAAATGTTTAAAGTTCGTTTTATATGCAATTGATTAACATAAACTATGTATTAATGAAAATGCCGCAATTTATTTTAATTTATGTAGTATTCTCGCACAAAAGTAAGGTTACTATAATCACATTAAATTCGATTTATTTTATGGAGTTAATAAAACCTTACAAAGTTACTAATACAACAGCTAGATAAATAACAATTTATTTAATATAAGCTATACGCTTTTCAATCATTGCGCATGACAAGAGTTATCTGCGACAGGTACCATTTACAATTTAAAAAAAATATCAATGTTCTACTTACGTAAGAGATCGGTTTGAGGTAACCATTTTGATATTTTAATATTTTTCGATATTCCAGGTAGTTCATCTTTTTCCCATTTCCACAAAACATTGTATGGCAATTTGGAGAATACGTCGATTAACATATTTATCGTATCCGAATGCAACATTGTCGACTGTGCATTTGAGCCCAAACTAAAGTATATAACACCATTTTTGGAAGAGTCCATATACTCTTGGATGGCCTGCAAATCAAGATATCACACAAAGGTAAAAAAATAAAGGTTGAAAAAGAATACAGATGCTGCTTAAAACATTAATCATGATTTCTGTTAGGGTAGGAAAAATTAATTCCTACCGTCATTTTTACTTAAATGACCTAAACAAATCTTAGAAAGCTTAACTTAATAAACAATTAAATTACTATTCACATACATTACTTTATACTTTTATACAAACACTTGTGCACTTAATTTAACAAATATATAAATTAAAACGTTCAAAGTAAAATATTTTAACAAAATTTACAGCACAAAACCACAGATTCAAAACAAAAAGTTTGACATTTCATTACTGTTTGTCCTTGAAATATTATTAACATTAGTTAGTTGAAAGTTAGTCGAGAATGCAAATTAATAATTCATATAAAATCTCTTGCTCCAATTCGTATTTATTTAATTATAAGTAAAAATTAAGGAGCTTTTTGAAGTGAAAACTTCTTAAACGGCGTTGTACATTTTTTTTGGATTAAGATGAAGGACACGTGGCCTGTTCGAAAATTCGTAAGACGGATAATGAGTAGACAGCTGGCGCGGCGTATTTAATGTAATATAAATTGTCATGTTTGTGTACGATAGCGCAATAAATAAATATTGTATTCCACCACATAATGAACGTACTTTTATACTGATAATTAAAGCAATTCGTGCAAAATTATTCCCTAACCATTCCAAAATATCAAAAATGCACAACGTTAACATTCAAGTTTTCACTTCCGCCGGCACTCCCGCAGTGCAACCCGTCGTTTTTTAATTTTCATTAATAAACTTATTTCAGAACTATGTTTGAATATTCTTATTGAATTGAATGACTTTATTTACCATGTACATACAACAATTGTACACTTTGCAACTCACCATTAATTTTTTTACAGTTGATTTTTGTCTTAAGTTTGTTTAGTCCAATTTATTTCATAACTTATCACAGTGAAACATGTTAGAAATTAAAATTGTCTGTTCCATAAAATTATTGTTGCCTTTTCTATCAAAAGTTCTCTAAAACATATTTCTGACATATCTAACAGAATAAAGAACGCTCTAGGTGGCACCTTTGGGGCATTGCATATGAAGTAACTAGAATTTGGCTTCGTCAAACTTTGTCAAAATTTTGATAGATTAGTATTAGCAAGTATAAAAAAATGTAAGTACCTGAGGTAGAAGCTTTTCTTGATTCTTATGCATTCCCCAAATTGAAATAACATTGGGTGGAAGTGGTTGATTGTTCGTCCATATAGGATGAATATTTAAAAAAAGCATATCTATATTGTTATTCAGTTCTTTATATGAAGGTACGTTACTACCAAAGTATTTACTTAGTGCTTCATGCTCACTAGTTTCACTCATATGCCAATGAAATATAATCCAATAATGCACGTACAATTCGTATAACTTTTCCCAAAACGTCAGATTGAATACCCTCTGGCGCATAATTATTGGGAATAAAACTGGATGTGTAAGCGCACCAATAACTTCGTCATTTCCTAACATAAAGCCAAATGAACTTATCTGGATAACAGGTACTTTAAATTTGTGAGAATACATTAATGCTGGACGTACACATGCCTCGATTATTAGCAAATCAAATTTACTATCACCGTTAAGCAAAGCGTGTATTTCTTCCGTATTGACTTGTAATTCGAGGATTTCTTTTAGAAATTCTTCCATATTCTTGACTATTTTAAAAACACCTGTTCTTTTACCAAATCCTGTGTCACGTTCTTCGAGTCCATCTCTCCAAGCATGGTATGAAATATCATGTACATCTATTTCAGTTAAGTTTTTTGGTCTATTATCCTTAGTAAATACTGGGTCTGCTGTGATGACTATAACTTCGTGACCCCTTCGGGCTAATTCTTGTGTAAGAGGTCGAAATACTACTTGATGACTTATTGATGGCGTGGGAAAAACCGCCAAAATTCTTGCTGCATTTATTTGAGAGAATAAAAATATAATATTTAATAAAACTGTTGACTTAATCATCGTATACAAAGCTATCAGTTAGAAAATTGCACAATATACTGACTGATATTATAAATGTACACTTTAAATAGGATTGTACTTAAGATATAAGTTATATATGTCCGTATATATTATCATACAGACTACTTTAAATAAGGTTTATGTTGCAGGCAAATCTCGTCATTGTTACGTAGATTTAACTATAAAAATCGGTCGTTATCAAACAGGAAAGCGTCAAAGATACGACTGTTGTTATTTTGAAATAAGAATATCGATAAACAATACCTTGGTATCTATGTCGAGTTATTATTATCAAACAGACAAATAAATCTGAAGCATTTACCAAAACGGTTGTTCTACCACTGGATATGTAGAACCTCGTTAAGTCGAACCTCGATAAGTCAAAAACCTCCAAATCTCGAAAAAATGTTTTGTTCCCTTCCCTTAAAACACCAAAACCTCCATTACTTGAAATCTTGACCCTCTGTTAATCGAAATAATCACCGAGTCCCTCCAAGCCATTTTGGTACATATTTTCACTCTATAACTCGAAAAATTAAATTTGACCTCTGTATCTCGAACATAGGAACGTTTTATTTTACAACCTTTACAACTTGATCATTTGGAATTTATTATCTCTATTGTTTGAACAAAAATAAGTTACCGACTTTAAGAACTTGCCGCCAATGTGAGTACACTATTGTTTCTTAGAAAACATTTTAGGAGTATACAATAATAAATTTATGACTCATGGAAACACGTGTTTGCTTGCTTTGTGTCAGGTGTTCAATTTTGATTCCCTTGGAAATTTAGCTAAGCCAGTCATTTGTTTTCTACTTAAATACTGTCAGAAGTAGTTTAGTTCTACTGCAATACACATCAGAATTTTCTGCTCTTTATAGATAAGACAATGCTATAGATAGAGAACAACCAAATTATCTAAAGCAAAAAAAAATTACTGACTTTTATTAATGCCATATTTTTTTATTTTAAAATGATTTGAAATAATGTTGATTTATAATAAATAAAAATATGTTTGTCACCTCTGCAAGTTGAATTTTTATTTATTTTACCTCTCTAACTCAAAATTTATAAGAATAAACCTCAAACTCTTTATGTCGAATCAAAATCCGCCTAAGTCGAAATCCTCCATAAGTTGAAAACTCTATAACTCGAATTTTTTGGCGTCTCCCTTGATGTTCGACTTATAGAGGTTCTACGTATAGTTTTTATTTTTTGGCGAAAGATTGGGAATCTCCCAATTCAAGGGGTTAAGTTCGCGGACAAGGTCTGCTTGGAAGGCCTCCTCTCAAAAACCACTTGTAGGGTTATGTTAATAACAAAACAATATTATGAACTATATTATTATATAAAATCTACTTAACCTAAAAAACAAAATCAATTACAATTTAAATCTGCGTATTAAGTTGAAGATCTAATATCTAGCTCTTTTAAAACCGGAAAATAGCTAATGACTCGTGGAATTTCTCGATTGCTTAAATACTCGTAGCTTACCCTGGTTGACCTACTTATAATAGATAATACTTCGTAATGTATGTTATCTTTTGGTGAGTGATGATGTTTGAGTTTCTATTTAATTTGCAAATTATGTCTATCTAGTCTTTAAATAGATTGGATATTAAAACATAATATTATTGCAATAAATATAAACCATTATTTATTATATCACACATCCTTATTATATAAATTGGGTAATTAGTAAAAATGTAAATGAGGTATAAATCATTAAGATCTGAGAATATTTATATAATACTAGCTGATCCGGCAAACGTCGTTTTGCCATGTTTATGATTTATAATAAAAAATTGGGGTTGATCGTAGATGGGTGAAAATTAGGGGTTGTATGTATTTTTTAATGCTGTATCATAAAAAAAAGAAAAACTAAAAATTTAAAAAAAATAGGGGTGGACTACCATTAACATTTAGGGGAATGAAAATTAGATGTTGTCCGATTCTCAGTTATTCCCAATATGCACACAAAATTTCATGAGAATTGGTCAAGCCGTTTCGGAGGAGTTTAACCACAAACACCGCGACACGAGAATTTTATATATTAGATGTAAGTCACAACTCAAGTTGGCAATGTTTGAACATCTCGTGCCTGTATGAGCGTATCTCGTATCTCGTGAGCTATGAGAGTTACCTTGTACGTTAGGCCGTTTCTCTACTGCTCCGGTCCGGCAAACGTTAATTACCGATCCGATTTAGAAACTAACAACAGTACTTACGTGCTTCTCCACTACTCCGGCATCCGGTTTTTAACGATCCGATAACTTGCTAGTTCGGAACGCGGTGTTTTATCGGTCCAAGTATATCCAAGAGGTTATAAATTATTATTCATAGGTTTATTTATAGTTTCTTTAATTTGAAAGAATCTGGATAACCTGGACCAAACCAAACTATGTTGCTATTTATTTATATTTTTATACCATAGTATTAGTGAACTATTTATTAAGTAGATTATAATATTTCAAGATAGACAATATAAAAAAAAGTAATTAACTAGCCAGGGCAATAAAATATTCAGAATTTAGAACGTTTTATTAATAAAATTAAGTATATGGGTTTTAGTTAATATAAGTGTTGCACGATAAATACACAAGTATCGATTATTGTCGGATCGGAAATAGTGGAGAAGCGCAATCCGGCCTTCCGATATTTTTCTCATGACTCATTCCGGTATCCGACGTCGGACCGGAGCAGTGGAGAAAGGGCCTTACGGTGCGCCTTGTTCGCGTACTATCAGCCGATTGGAGCAGATCACGCGAATATTTTTGGAGTGAAACTTCTTAGGCGCATGAGGGTAAAATACGGAACCTCACAAAGATGTGCTATTTTGTCGAAGAAGAGGGAGAGAGCGATTGAAAGAGAGTGAGAAGGGTGAATTACCTTATAGAAATTATATTTTTAAAATTACAATTTCGTAAAGAGAATTTTTGAAATATTAGTATTTTATGCAAAATAATTTATTGAAATCACAAATGACGAATTGTAAATTAAAATGCCACGTGTTTTTATTATTAATTAAAAAATTAAATTTATTATTTGTGTTAACTTTTAATACTTTAATGACAATTAAATTAATTAAATTCCTAACATATCTTCCTTTATCCCTCTCTCTAAGTCTCGGAAATCTAATGTTTTAGATTTGTATAAATATGAACAAGAGTTAAAAATTAGTTTACCAAAGAAGTTTTACTTCTCATATGTGCACTTTGTACGCACGTACTTTTTTCTATTTAAGCCACGGAACTTAATGATGTTGGATGGACCTTGGCACAGCTATTATCACACACATATCGGCCCGATCGCTCTGCTTCGTTCTGGAGGAGGAGGTCGGGTGGTATGAGTTCACTTGTGACTGCGCAAGCCAGTCTTAACAGAAGACAAACCTATAATATAAATATATTATGAAGCCATCGGTCATATTCCAGAATTCAGCCGTATATCGTACTATCAACAGACAACAGACAACAACACTTCGTCTGTCGAAGACGAAGAAAAGATCGGGGCGGTCGCGTGCTGTTTTAACTACAAAGGATGTAATGCTTTAGCCAGAATTCGTCGAAACCCCATTAGGAAGCAAAAAAATCTTTTGGCGAGAAATGAAGATTCCCACTAGGACTCTGTCGCGTATTATAATACAAGATCTAGTGCTTATCCTCAATAAATATACAGGACATGCCCTAAATCAATCTTTACAATTAAACAGAGTGTATCGATCAAAACGCCTTCTGTCGCGATTCGCAGGTGATAAGCACAGAAATATCCTCTTTACCGATGAAAAAATTTTCACTATTGCAGACCACTACAATAAGCAAAATGATAATGTGTACGCTCACAGTTCTAAAGTGGATCACACCATCCTCTTACATAAGCTCCAACTCCTAGGGATACGTGGTGACTTTCATCGGTGGTTTTATTCATATATAACAAATCGTAGACAGGCAGTTGCGGTTGGCAATGCTAGAAGTGTGTTTGTTCATATAAGTTCTGGAGTTCCTCAGGGATCTACATTCGGTCCCCTGTTATACAATGCATATCTTTATGACATTAATAGTAGCATTAAAGATTCTAATTACCTTATGTTCGCTGATGATAAAAAGATATACTTAAAAATAAATAAGTTTTCACTTCAAAAATTGAAAAGATCCAAAAAGACTTTATAAAATGTATCTCCTATAAGACCTATAATAAGTTTAATACATATAAAGACGGGTGTGAACATTTTCAAATTAATACTAATAATTAGACTCGACGAAAAAAATATGATTTATTGCATGACATCATCTCAAATAAAATTAATTGCAGGTCCCTTCTATTGCCCTTTCTTGCTCCAGCCTACCAGACTCGTAATCGTGCTTTGTTTCATGTTCCTCACATCAACACTAACTACGGAAAAAATTAAGTTTTGTATCCCGCAGCCCTGACATACAACTTATTTTTAACTTTTAATTTAATTTTATTTATTATACACCGTTACACACGATTTTCATTACGCACACTTCTAACTTTAATATTATTATTATTATCTTCTACTTGGTATTATTATTATTATTTTTTTTCTTTGCTACTGAGGCGCAAACTAGCTGCTGTGGTCTCTGGCAGAATAACCAGCGCTGTGGAACTTTTTGCTCCTCAGCATAATGCTGAGCCAGGGCCAATTACAACCACAGTACACACACATTGCACACTGGAAGCGAACCGAATGGCAAAAGGGAATTTTTTAATTTTAATTTTTAATTTTTATTGTTTTTGATGTCTTATTTTATTTTTTTCTTTAAGTATTGTTATTTTGTGTGTATATGTGTGTGTGTTTTCGTTTGTAAAAAATGTTATGTCTATGTCTATGTAATGGATTCGTGGGGCGTGTCTTTTCTAGAAGACACAAAACTACATTTTTGTGAAAAGGAAGTAAAAACTTCAGCCAAAGTGTCTTGGATCATGTTGTGAAACCTCTCAGCAATACAGCAATACAGATGAGACCTATGTCTTTGTGG